TCATACGTGTCTTCAACTCAGTGCTGCAGAAACTAAACTAAATGAAACTAAAACACTGTGCAATCTGCCATGAATGGCAATGGCAATAGTGCCATCACTCTTCTCTGCAGCTTCGGAGTACTCCAGAGATTTTTGACACTGCCCCTATCTGACAACGGACAATCTGTGCAGGTAGATCAATGGACTACCAACGAGTGCTGACGCACTACTACCGCTGGACAATAATTCCCACATCAGCGATCCTGCCGACTCTTCAGTCTTTAGCCTGTGGTGATAATGCTGTGCAGACTTTGATCAATAAACAGCCTTTTGTCAACAAAGTGGATTATTTATCTGGTGGATTATTTATTTGGCGATTTAAAAACCTGCTACAATTCACTATTTACCTGCATCGTTATGAAACCACTGGGGACAATTTGACATTTGATAAAAATGAATTTAAACAAATACACAGAAAAGAAAGCTACAAAAATGAAATCTGTTTTTCCATGTTAATCAAGTAGTTTTGAAATTTTAGAGTTAAAGTAGTGAAAATCTTTCACTTTAGTCTGGTTTTTGCCATGTTGAATCACATTTTTAAGCAGAATTATTCAAATATGCGATTAACGAAATGCTGTAAGGTCATGACATTTGACTGGAAGATATCTCTGAATGAGGATTACTCACCAGTGCACAAACAGAGGAAGTTTTTGCTGGTCTTGGGACAAATATCCGAAAAAAGCTGAAAGACTATACGCCCAACTACAAGACACACAAGGGGGAAAGAAGAGTCACTAAAAGTATCATCTTTAAACAAAGTCAAAATAAATCACATATAAACAACAACATGTAAACAACTGAAAACAATCTTTAATAGTTCACAGCTACATTTTCTATTACAAGCTACAAGTTTCTATTACAGAAACCTCTCTGTAGCTAATGGCAAGTCTGATACTACAGTGGGGCAAAAAAGTATTTAGTCAGCCACCGATTGTGCAAGTTCCCCCACCTAAAATGATGACAGAGGTCAGTAATTTGCACCAGAGGTACACTTCAACTGTGAGAGACAGAATGTGAAAAAAAAAATCCATGAATCCACATGGTAGGATTTGTAAAGAATTTATTCGTAAATCAGGTGGAAAATAAGTATTTGGTCAATAACAAAAATACAACTCAATACTTTGTAACATAACCTTTGTTGGCAATAACAGAGGTCAAACGTTTACTATAGGTCTTTACCAGGTTTGCACACACAGTAGCTGGTATTTTGGCCCATTCCTCCATGCAGATCTTCTCGAGAGCAGTGATGTTTTGGGGCTGTCGCCGAGCAACACGGACTTTCAAATGCTTCTTACGGAGCCACTCCTTTGTTGCCCGGGCGGTGTGTTTTGGATCATTGTCATGTTGGAAGACCCAGCCTCGTTTCATCTTCAAAGTTCTCACTGATGGAAGGAGGTTTTGGCTCAAAATCTCACGATACATGGCCCCATTCATTCTGTCCTTAACACGGATCAGTCGTCCTGTCCCCTTGGCAGAAAAACAGCCCCATAGCATGATGTTTCCACCCCCATGCTTCACAGTAGGTATGGTGTTCTTGGGATGCAACTCAGTATTCTTCTTCCTCCAAACACGACGAGTTGAGTTTATACCAAAAAGTTCTACTTTGGTTTCATCTGACCACATGACATTCTCCCAATCCTCTGCTGTATCATCCATGTGCTCTCTGGCAAACTTCAGACGGGCCTGGACATGCACTGGCTTCAGCAGCGGAACACGTCTGGCACTGCGGGATTTGATTCCCTGCCGTTGTAGTGTGTTACTGATGGTGACCTTTGTTACTTTGGTCCCAGCTCTCTGCAGGTCATTCACCAGGTCCCCCCGTGTGGTTCTGGGATCTTTGCTCACCGTTCTCATGATCATTTTGACCCCACGGGATGAGATCTTGCGTGGAGCCCCAGATGGAGGGAGATTATCAGTGGTCTTGTATGTCTTCCATTTTCTGATGATTGCTCCCACAGTTGATTTTTTCACACCAAGCTGCTTGCCTATTGTAGATTCACTCTTCCCAGTCTGGTGCAGGTCTACAATACTTTTCCTGGTGTCCTTCGAAAGCTCTTTGGTCTTGGCCATGGCGGAGTTTGGAGTCTGACTGTTTGAGGCTGTGGACAGGTGTCTTTTATACAGATGATGAGTTCAAACAGGTGCCATTCATACAGGTAACGAGTGGGGGACAGAAAAGCTTCTTACAGAAGACGTTACAGGTCTGTGAGAGCCAGAGATTTTCCTTGTTTGAGGTGACCAAATACTTATTTTCCACCCTGATTTACGAATAAATTCTTTACAAATCCTACCATGTGGATTCATGGATTTTTTTTTCACATTCTGTCTCTCACAGTTGAAGTGTACCTCTGGTGCAAATTACTGACCTCTGTCATCATTTTAAGTGGGGGAACTTGCACAATCGGTGGCTGACTAAATACTTTTTTGCCCCACTGTATGTGAGGGACAGCTGTGGAAGAAGAGCATCAGCTACATCTTCCAGGATAAAGTCACTAAAACAGTCTGGTCAATATTTCCATTCTCAGCAGCTATCAGGGGTTATATAGAAATATAACCTCTCAGCACAGATACAGCTGATGCTAAACCAGTCTATCAAGTTTATTCATCACTGAGTGAGCCACTTTCATTTTGTAAATGAATATCAATGAAAAGCTTGAACACCAAAAACAAAATCTATACATAACATTAATTTAAAAATCCTTTTTTTACATATCAGTTCAACGTATGGAAGTTAAGGTAAGCTCTAACTAACTATTCCCTCCACCTGTAAACTGATAAGGATTTCCCTTACTTGGCTCCCGGTTGAGCTCCACATCAAAGTAACACTGAGGGCGGTCTTTCACCCCCATTGCGATCAAAGTCCAGATGACCTAAAATGCAAAAACAAAAGAAGCTAAGCATAAAAAAAAACAAAAAAAACAATGCTTCCCCCCCCCCTTTTTTTATACGTATGTTTAAGCCAACAGAGACACAGCACATTGGAAAGAGGCTGTATACAACGGAGAGACTAAATGACAGCAAAGGAGGAAGAAACAGAAAGGGGAGGAGAGAGCAATGGTAGGGGAGAGACAGAGAGAAAAGTCTGTGGGGACATACAGAGGCTATGCAAATCCGAGCAGAGCGCACCACAGACTCCTTACTGTATATTTATTGCTCTGTGACAAACACTGAAATGTCACCACTCTGGCTGAGCCTGCTTTGTAACATTAACAATAACCTGGAAGTGTATCTACAGCTTTTAGTTTGAGCATGTTTGATTTATATATGGACAAGCACCCAGCAGACAATTAAAGCGAGCACCATCAATAGATCCCAATGTTTACCTTCATCATGTGACAATATATATATATATACATTAAAAAGAAATCTCCTCAAAACCATGCACCAACTTGTTGAAGAGCTTTACTGCTGAGCCATGAGTTGGAAAACCACAATGTTTTTAGTCTGAGCAATGCAGTTTTAATCACAGCTACAGTACAAGGAAATGTTTGGTCTATCTGGAATTTGTGTGGGTGAGCAGACTGAACTGCCAAAGAGCTTTACGAGTAATGAAAGTGCAACACAGTACGGAAGAGGGGGAAAAAAAGAAAAAGAAATCACAACAACTTCTCAGCAATGTGCATTCATCAAATTCTCTTCTTTTCATGTCCATGGTATGTGCTCAATATTTCTTTTCTTTTTTTTAACTGTGCAGAGATGTGAGTGAACATGAGCTGCAGTGTTTTGTGTTATTAGCTATAGTTTAACTTTAGCTTTCCCCCAGAACACAAGAAGAGAAGTGAGCTTGGTGTTAAGTTGGAGTGTTTTCTGGCATTACTGCACAGGAGGAAGTATATCAAGGTGTCAAGATGATAATACTGAATCTATACATAGCCGCCTAAGAGGCCTGTCTTTTCAGATAAGCAGAGCTGCATTGCATTTACAGCAGAACTCGTGTCATATTACTAGCCTTGACTATGTTTGGTTAACGAGGAATGGCATCTGCATGAACAGTTAGATCGTGGCTGCTACGAATAGAAAACAATAACCAACTTCTGGAGAAGTCCCTCCTCCACTGAGCTCTTTAGATATTTACCTTGCATGTCATGCAGACTACAGTAACCACTAAAGCGGACTCTCCCCCCCCAAAAAAAACAAAACAAAACAAAACAAAAAACACAAAACCTTAAAACAATGCTGTAAACCCAGAAACCGAGAATGTCCTTTTGCATTTCTTGTACAACGTTAGCAGCCAGCACGGCACACCTTGTAGCTCGGGTTTATCTGAAAACGACCTAAGGTTACTGAGGGTTTAAGCCATGCTGCGAGTATTAAAACGGTGTGAAATCTCCCCAGGCTACAACGAGAACACTGTTCACACAAATGTTAGGCGCTTTTCCAAAGCGGCGGAGCTAACAGCTAGGAGCTGGCTAAAGTTAGCTAAGCAGCTTACGTAAAAAAAAAATCACTCGTTTGCAGAGACTGTTAGCATTTATTTCAACGCTGAAAATCCTACCAATGGTTATTAAAAGCTTTGATTTATGTAACTTACCTCTGTACAGTAGCTAGCCAAGAATCAGCTAGTCACTGACGGTCGCCACTTAGCATTTGAGTTCCCTTTTTTGAGTGACGAGTGCTGGTTAGAAAGCCGACTGGTGGGTGGGCAGTTTAGTAGTTTTGTCCCTTTCGGCTTGCCGTAGAAGATTTGTTGTGGTTTTGTTGTATCAGGAAGCACATTTGAAGTTAGCTCGCTGGACTAATTTTGATTTAAGGTCTTACTTCGCTATTATAAGTCGTTATTAAGGACGGCTCTCTTTATCGATCATTGATTGCTTTTGCATCGCGAAGCTGGGGCGGGTTTCCTGCCTGCTTATGGCGTGTTTTTGTTTGTGATAAGATGCATTAGTCAGCTAAACTACAATAGCTTAGGGACAAGGTGCAGCATGAAACCCATGATAATGAGGTAAGCTGCAACGAGATGTTGTCACGAGTGTTTAAATTGTCTTAGCTCAAAGATTTCTAAGTGGTGTTTAACTACAGAGACTACAGAGATTTTAAACCTACGCAGTTTCCCTGTTCAGTTACCATCTATTCACACCAACTGAACCTAATGCAGTCTGAAATGCAGTGTTTAGTTTTTTTCGGAAAGTTATTTATTTAGTTAGTTAATGTAAGGAGAATTAATGAAAACAATATCACATTTCACGTAGACAAATATCGTTACCAATGGTGATGGACAAATTGACAGGTGAGGTCAGACAGGAGTTTCTCTGGTATATGATGTTTGCAGACAACGTTGGGATTTGTACTTAGAGGAAAGAGCAAGTGGGAGAGAACCTGAAAAGGTGCAGGTATTGTCCGGAGAAAAGAGGAATGAAAGTTAGTAAACTAAGAGGGAGAGGAAAGGCAATGAATGTCGATGGGCTACATACCTGGATTCAACCATCCAAAACAAGGCAGGTGGGGTGGTGTTACGAATGTCAGGGGCGATTAGTGCAGAAGGATACCAGCAAGAGTGAAAGGGAAGTTTTACTAGATGGTTTGCAAGTTAGACCTCCTTTCATTTATGGTTTGGAGAAGGCGGCACTGACAAAAAAAACAAACAAAAAAACAGGAGGCACAGCTGGAGGTGCCAGAGGTGAGAATGTTAAGATTTTATTTAGGTTTAGAGGTTTATTTAGGTTTAGGTTTATTTTGTTTAGGTTTAGAGCTAGAGAGTTAGAGAGGCAAGGCTGAAATGCTTTGGATATGTGGAAAGCAGGAGTAGTGGATGGATACAGAGCTGCCAGGCAGTAGGAAAAGAGGAAGACCATAGAGGAGCTTTGTTGATGTATAGTGAAAGAGGACATGCGGAGAGTTGGTGTGCCAGAGGACAATTCTGAGGGTAGGGTCCGATGGGGGCAGAAGCAGCTGAAAGAAGAAGAAGAAATAATGTGACCAAAATATTCTACATGAAGTATTTTATTATAATAGAATAATAACACACAATTTGATAAGAAAGGAAAATGTAGTGTAAAAAATATAGAATACTAAATTTGAGTGTAAGACTAACGGCTCAGTTTATTTTATTTGTGTTATTAGCATGATACCAGCTGTATTTATTTATACTACTGACAGTTTATATAACAGCTATCATCAGCACTATATCCCCAACTTAAATGTGCTATTCCAATCAATATGATAACAGTAATCTGATCTTGCTTTGTGCTCCGCGTAGGCAGTGTGTGCTTCATGGACCGAGTGGATAATGTCTGTGATCCTGTTTGCCTTTGTGGTTCGGGTCAGGGATGGACTCCCCCTGTCAGCCTCCACAGACTTTGAACACAACCGAGAGCTCCAGCAGAGGAAGCAGCAGATTAAGACCATCAGCAAGGCGCTGGCCCGCTTCCCCGACAGAGGGACCATTAAGGGCCAGGAGCTCAATATATAGTAAGCACGCAACAAACGAAAAGCAGCAGCAGCAGAAGCACACAGATTCATAAGAACCTGTCTAACTGCAAAAATGCACAACACACAGCCTTAAAGCAAATCGGCACGTATTTGATTTTGTGGTACGGTCGACATACGCAGTGTCGTCCATGTGAACAGAGGGGCATCCACGTCACGCTGCTTCAGGCTGTTTGTTTACTAAACACCTTTTCTCCTCTCACCTGTTCAGCTTCGTCTCTTCAGAGGGTGTATCCTACATGACTGTGTGTCACTGCAGCCTCCCTGTTGCTAAAGCCTTCTGCTTCCTGGAAGATCTGCGCTGGGAGTTCACAGCATGCTTCAAAAGCACTGTTGTTGCCTTGGCAGCCAGGCCATATCCATTTTTGGAATTTGGTGAGGGGAGCGAAATTGCCTCATATAGATTTGATAGTGTCTTTTGGGATTGCAAAAGTTTTTTCTTTCTTTTGCTTTAAATTTAAGATGTGTTAACACACAATTAAATAAATTAAATCTTTGAATTTACCTCTGAATCTTGCTGCCAACTGGCAGACAGCATTATTCAGAAGCTGAAGCAGCAGTACAACCACAGTGGTGGCCCGGCCCTAGAGGTGACTTTGGCAGAAGTCCAGGAGGAGCTGAGGATCCATCCACCTCAAGTAATAAACCTGGATGAGGTGGAGCTAACCAATGGCACTGCAAATGGGCACATGGAGCAGGGTCCTGGATCTGGTAAGGCTAAAAGCACTTGAAACAGAGCACTCTGCTTCCTGCCTTTGACAGCCAGTAGAAATTCTTTGTAATGCAGGAATGAGGATATTTTCTTGCTTCTCATTGTGTTTTCTTGTTTTGAAGTGTTTATATTGTTGCTTTCTTGTGTTTAACAGGTCAAAATCAAAGACTGGAACCAGTGACGGCCCCGGGCATCCTCTCTCTCATCCTCAATATCATGTGTGCGTCTTTGAATGTTATCCGTGGGGTTCACCTCATGGAGTACACGTTCCAGGTACAATTAGTGCTGGCATCTGATTACTGTCATTTCAAATATTATTGATGGTGCTGTTTACTTGGGGAGTCTACATGATGTGAAAAACAATCATAAGTTGTAACTTTCTCTCTTGCATAGCAAACCAGTTTGTTTGTTTGTTTGTTTAAGTCGGGATATTTGGAAATAGGCTTGCGTAAGCTAATTTTAATTACAGATAAGGTAAGCTGGCTGAACTGACCGCTGTGCATTAGCATTTTACGGTGAAAGCTGAGTTGTTATCATGAGGTGTGCACAAATTGGGTGAATTAATCAGAAATAAATGCAGCAAGCCGACTGAGACCGGAATTACAAATCAACTTTTTTAAAAGTTTATGTATTATTTTTGTTTTCGCAGGATGATTATGAAAGCATTTGGAATGTTGTGGCATTTCTCCTGGCATTTGCTTGCTGTGTTTTTCAGGTAAATAGTAGTTCACATAGTAGCTTGACTCTTGATTGCAAACAGAAATATGCTGCCGTCCATCTTTCTCTGACGCTTCTCCGTGTGAATCGCTCCGTAGTGCCACCTCTACCTTTTCCACTCATCTGTGAAGAAACTGAAGTGCTTCACTCTGTTAAGTGTGATCGTCCTATGCAACTTGCACCTGCTCGGCTTGAGAAACGCGTGGCAGCTCCTCTTCCACGTTTCCGTTGCCTCCTTGTCTACCGTGCTCATCCTGACTCGCAAAGTCCAAGACAGAACCAGCGACTGTGGCGTCTGAGGAGCGCAGGACAGCGAAATTTGTTGCACCGCTGCAGTTTTCAGTGCAGGCGAGAAAGAGTGAGGACGTAATCGGCTCGATCCACTATAACGAAGATGTCTTGTGGATTTTTAACAAAAGATTGAAAAAGTACAATAACAGGTTCGTATTTTCTCATGTGCAGTACGTACTCGAACTTTCTGTGCATTTGTGTACAACAAGAATATCGGAAAATGCAGTGATTTTTGGATTCTTAAAATGCTCCGATTAACCTCAAACCAGGAAAAAATGCATATGAAGAACAACACTGATGAATCCTAGTCAAGCCCAACTTTTAGGAAAAGTTTTGAAAGGAGATGGAAGAGCTTTTTTTCAGTCAAAGTTTTTCCCGTTATGTTGGTGGGTTTATAATTGAATGCATTTGTTCTCACACCCAGCTCAGTATTTCTGTTGTCACAGAGCACTGATTAGCTTTTCATAATCATTTTACACTCAGTGACATCAAGTTAAAATTGATTTCAGTTGTACTTTTCCCAGAAAATAAGATAGTCCGTCCTGCGCTGGTAGGCGTATGATAACTAAATTATTTAATGTAGCTTAACTGAATTACTCTATAGCCTAAAAAGGAAAAAAAAAAAATCAAATGTGTAAATAAAAAGCTATGGTTGCTCTACTTCTTTCTGTGTGGCAGTGCAAATATGGTTGATGGGTTTGGTTTATTTTGTTATATATTTTATAGCCAGTGCTCAGCTTCTCGTTGCAAAGGTTCACATTTAAGGGCTTCGTTATTTAGCAACTTCACAGTCTGTTCTGAAAGGGAATGTGTTAATCATATGTTCAGCTGTGGTTTGATTTTGAGGTTTGTTTGTTTTTTTAACAACGACTCATTTTAGACCCCTCGTTAGAAGAAAGTTGTTTCACCTCATCTCCAAAATAAGCTTGCATCCTTTCTGTTGATCTCTAAATTGTGATGATATCAATATGCTTGTTTTATTAAGCTATTGCTAAGGTCGGCCTTAGCTTTTCTTCCTGAGGCCTGTACTATGAAGAAAGTTCAACATACCAGGGTGTCTTTATGCTACCTGTTCACTTTTGCTAACGCTGGCATTCAGCAGTCACGTGAAGCTAATTATTGACTCCCTGAAGTTAACCCAGGGTCTCCTTTGGACCTTCAATTGAAAGGGGTGGTGTTGGCAGTATCTGACCAATCATAAACGTGGACAACTGCTGGCAGTATAGCAGCTGATTTTACAAAGGAAGATAAAATAATACAATGGGAGAAACATGAAAAGGTTAAACACATAAAAGAGACTGAAAGCAACACACCCACTGCAGACAAAGGAGCAAGATGAGTGTCTGCTAAATCCAGCTTCATAGTACGGGCCTTGCGAGTCTGGTATGCATTCACAAAGATTCAAAAAGAAGAAGCAAGCCCTTCTTATAAAGGTATTATTAAAATTCATAGACAAGAACATGAAAGGTTTTTTTTTAACTACCTATAACAGGATATTAAACAGCATATTTTGTATTGAATGTACGCGTTTCCAACAATAAGTAATCCTTCTTCTCCAGTGTAATTCCTATTTCATGTTTCCACATATGAGAAAGTATGTGAGCGTGTAAAAGCACTGATTATATTGCAGTTTGTTAGAAAAACTGCACTATTTATGGAGACAGTTATGGAAATTGTCCTTTGAATATGTTCCTGTTTTCTGTTTACCTGTTGGTTTGTTTCAAAAGCCTCTATTTCCTACGGAGTGGAGTAGATCCAATATTTGTTTCTCACATTGATGTAAACATAGAAATCTAGATAAATACCACTGCTGTGCTGCTGAAGAAGTAGACTAAGAATAATTTTACTGTCAGTTTTTGTTTTTCTTACGCACTCCGTTTTTAATGGCTAAAAGTTGCACTCAATATCAGAGGAAGTAGATCGTTAGTTTTATAGAGTTAGTTAAACATGTAGCATCAGGAATTATGTAAAATCCATCCTTTCTTTTTTAATGTTTAATCCCTTGTTCGAGGACTTTTAAAGGCTGCATTTCTTACAGCAATCCGAAGGTCTTTAACTTTATTGCACTGTTAGAGAGGGACAAAAAAGCTCATTAGTTTTATTGTAATGTAGCTTCAGTTTACACATGTGTGCCCTTTAGTAATGCTAGACTTTACTTTTTTCTCAAAAAGGTTGTTTTATCCTGAACTCCTGGCATTTGCTTGATGAAAAGCCTTTAGATTCACTGAAGTTCACTGGGGCTGCGAGGTTTCAAGTAGATTAGGGAATAGTGAACTGTTCAAACAACATAATTTTGTTTTTAATTGTTATGCTACTGATTAATTGAGTCCAACTGTTATATTGGCGCGGCGGGTATGTTCGCTTTTGATATCGGCAACTATGTATAACCATCATAAATAAAAATTAAAAAGTAAAGGAGAGATGGAGAACACGCCCTTCATCCATGGTATGAATGTTGGTGTTGGTGTAGTGTGTGAACCAGAGGACCCTCTGCAACATCTCTGTGGGCAGCATTAGTGTGAACGCCACAAACACAACCAGCTGATCTGAGTAGAGTCGGGCTGAGCGTAAACGAGTAATCTGCAACTTGTTGTGACAATAAAGCAAGATTATTTTTAAAGTACGCTGTCATGATATCTCAGTAAGGACTCATAAAGAAATTACAGATAACAAATGTTTGGGAACTTTATGTTTTGTGAAGCCAGAAGAAAAAATATTGTTCGGTATTGGTTTTAAAAATCCTATGCCTGTCAGCCGCTACTGGATATTTTGTGCGTAGGATTTTGGTGATGCTAATATTTTTGATATGTAGGAGGTTTTACTGATTCAGCATTTTCCAGTAGAGAAACTGTATTTAAATACACTGCTGACCAAATGATTTGTAACAAAATGTTTTTAAGATGTTGAACCAAACCATTTGGAGCATTTTTTTTCCTCTTGAAATGAAAACGAAGGATAAAGTTTGTTTTTAAAAGAAAACATACAGTACAAATGCAGCCTGTAACTGAAATGTGACAGTTTTCAAGTTTGCAGGTTAGAAAACCCTTTATGTTCGCGAGACCAGCCTGAGTCTCTAATCCTTGGATGGTTTCTCTTTTAAAATGAAGAACAGTTATTTGTATAAATTGTGGGTTTACTGTTTTGTGACTCTATTTATAATGATTGAAAATGATGGAAATGTGTCATTTATTGTAACTGCCAAAAACGCTTTTGATTACAGGGCATTTTCCCCATCTGGTAAAACTGACATTTCATTAATAAATAGTGTCTTTTTTTCCATTTCCTTATTTTTGCTTTGTGAGTTCATGGCAGGAAAACCTGCAGCAGTGATTGAACAGTACCAACATGAAAAATGTTAATTACTTTGACTAATGGGCCCATTTAACTTTTATATATGTCTATATGCAGAATTTTAAATCTGAAATTGCATGCAAAACAAATCAAAAAAGATTTTGGCCAAGTAACTAAATTAGAAATAATATGCCAATAATATGCCACAGCACACCTGAAACACTGACCACACTGAGTGTACTTTCCAAATATTACACCAGATGGAGCTCTTACAGTGTCAAAGAGACTTGCAGTCACTGACAGAAACAAACGAAACTCAAAAATGTTTTGAAGCTTTTAAACACATGGAGAATATTGTGGAACATCCCTGTGACACTAGATAATATAGTAAATATAGTTTTATTTATGTATTTAACATCAAAGATAGAATAAAGCCTGTTGGGAAGGGAGAAAATGTGCATAAAACTACTAGTGTTGAAACAAGTTACACAACACACTTGATAGAGAAGCTTTAAAGTTATGACATTAAACATGGACTAAATAAAGTCCACATATATCCTTACCAACCACTTTATGATATTGTTGTTCATTCAAATATCTAATCAGCCAATCACATTGCAGCAAATGAGTGCATTTAGTATTGGAGATGATCTGCTGAAGTTCCAACTTAGAGTCAGAATAGAGAAGAAAGGTGATTTATTTGAGTTTGAATGTGGGATGGTTGTTGGGGTCAGACGGGCTGGTCTGGTTATTTCAGAAACTGCTGATTTGCTGGGATTTTCCCACATTACCATCTCTAGGGTTTACAGAAAATGGTCTGAAAATATCCAGTGAGCGACAGTTATCTGGGTGAAATGCCTTTGTTGATGCCAGAGGTCAGAGGAGAATGACCAAGTTGATAGAAAGGCAGCACTCGCTCAAATAACCGATCATTACAACCAAGATATGCACATATTACTTTAAACCTTGAAGAAGAAGCAGAAGATGACATTGGGTGTCACTCCTGTCAGCAAAGAACAGGAAACGGAGGATACCGTTCACACGAGGTCACCAAAATTGGACAACAGAAGACTGGAAAAACTTCTGATGAGTTTTGATCTCTGCTGTGATATTTGGATGGTACAGTCTAAATTTGGCGTGCCCCCAACATGAAAGCACGGATCCATCCTGCCTTGTATAAACTGTTCAGGCTGATGGTGGTGTACTGGTGTAGGATGTTTTTCTTGGCACACTTTGGCCCTTCAGTACAATATGAGCATCATTTAAACACCGCAGCATAAATAAGTATCCTTCCTCACCATGTCCATCCCTTTATGACTGCGGTGTACCCATCTTGTAATGCTTGCTTCCAGCAGGATAACACAACATGTCATAAAACTCAAATAATCTCAGACTGGTTACTTGAACATGACCCTGAATCCACTATACTCAAATGGCCTCCACAATCACCACATCTCAATCCAAAAGAGCACCTTTGGGTTTGGGTGTTTTGTGTCACGGATGGATGCGCAGCCAACAAATCTGCAGAAACTGGGATGCTATTATGTCAGCATGGACTAAACCTATGTGATGAATGTTTCCAATGACGTGTTAGTGAGGAATAAAGGCAATTCAGAATGCAGAAGGATCTCCAGCCTGACCTTATGAATGTGTCGATTCAGATTAGCTGGTGCTGACTCGAACAAACAATATGCTTTTTATGCCATAAAAGAAGCCTTAGAAGATTAGGGTGTAAACACACTGTATAGGATGTTTATATTAAATCCTCAGAGTCTTTGTTTCTAATGAATATTTTAGAATATTACAAAAAAATCAGGCTTCTTTGACTAAATGTAAATTGATTTTTAAAAAGAAGCTGTTTACAGTAAATTGCTGTGTCTGGGAAAATTAAGCATTCCACATTAGGGTCAGTGTTCAGAGTCATTGATGTGCTTTTCAGGGGTTTAAATCTTTATGCAGCTGAAGGTACAGGACCAGCCTTGAGAGTAATGAGAAAAGCTGTCAGTCTTTTATTAAATAAAAATAAAGTGTCTTGTATCTGTTCTTCTCTTGTTGTTGGTGTCTGAATCTTAACATTTGGTCCAGAACATATTCAGCCTTTGATGCCAGGCTCTCCAGAGATGGGAATGATGCTAAAGTAGTTTCATTGAAATGTGCATTGGTCTTTAAAGATCTTTAGCCTAAAACTATATCACGTGTCTATTTAATATCTGAGAGTTGAACCGATGAAAGTATCCTACAACTCTGACAGATTGTCTCTGTTTCCACTAATTCAAAAGCACTGACATATTTGTGTTATCTCTGTAAAGCACAGTCTTTTAAGTGTTTATCAGTGTTCTCGCATCGAATAAAGAAAGAAATATTTGAAGTTGCAACCTAGAAAGGAGCTCACATATAATCCTGCAGTGCCACATTGCATCTAAATTAAACAATGAGTGTCAGATGTTATCCTCATTAGCAGAGATTAACCCCTTTTATCCTAATTGGCGGGGGCTACTGCTGTCGAGAAGCTCTCTTTCCCCTAACAAATAGACGTAACAGCTGGGTGGTCTTGTTGAAGTGTTTATGGCTCACATTTCTTTTGCACTTCTCCTCCTACATGTTTACAGAACAGCAGCACTGTTTGCCTTATCCGCTTTGGGTGATAAACAAGTTTACAGAGTAAAAAAGGCAAGCTGTGGTTTGAAGGTACTCCTGCTGCACGGTGTATGTTTGCATATCCCAGGAGCACTTGTTCACAGGGTACTTAAAAATCCTTATTGTTATATAAATGGAATTACATTTTAAAAATCTGAATGTTAATTGGTTTAACACATGTGTTGAGAGAGTGCATGTAAAATGTGAGCCACAAGTGGAGCGTTCCAAATAAGTTGGAACAACCATGGCTTGTGAAACCTTTGCACAGGTTCCTAAAGCGCAGAAGTATTCACTAAAAACATTCCTTCTGATGTGTGTGCTAGTTCCATTATTAGGTTAGTTTTTTGGATAAAAGACGGGTAAGTTTGGGGGTGTTAGTGGTTTGATCGACAATAGACTCGTTTCAGTTTATTCAGTACCATATTTTTGGGATTATAAGGCACACTTATCGACAGTGCGCCTTATGTACGAATTCTGGTTGTGCTTACTGACCTCGAACTGATTTTATGTGGTACACGGTGCTCAAAAATCTGTCAAAAAATGTTTTAGTACGACTTTGGTAAGCTACGGAGCCGCACCGCTCGATGGATTGTCGTAGCATTATGGCCACTGTAGTCAGGAGCCTCACGGAGTAATCTGGGTCCAAAACTCTGTCCGCTTCAGGTCCCAAAGTCAAACGAGCACTGCGGCATCACTGAGAGTTACAAACTGTCTAAATTATTTTGTCTTTAATAAAATGATCAGCGTTGCTGCTTTACCAGGTGTAACAATTAAGTTTAACATCCAGGCATCCATGAAAACAGAATTTATTACATTTAACGGAGTTAGAAGTTAACAGAAAGTTAGCTCGCTAGTTTCCACCTAAACATGATATAGCAGAAAACACAGAAAACCCAAAAGTAGTAGATACATTCATCTATCCTCGTAAACATACAAGTAAAACATAAGTAAGTAAAATCTGACTTCCCCTAAAACCTGGCCAAACCCACCTTAACATCAGCAGTGGGATTGGAAACATTACTTAGAGAGGTTCTGATTGTAATTTACACTTTTATAATGACGTCCATTTAAATACATTCAAAGGTGTATTATTGACATGATTTGGTTAAATTTAGTTTTTCAGTTCGAGAGGGTTAACATGACTGTGACCGCAGAAACTCACCAAATAAAAAACGTTATTCAGAAGTGTCCTGTTTAATGCGATTGCAGGGTCCGGTCTTCTGAAATAGGACTGTATGAAATTACTCTCAGATTTAATCAAGGTGAGTCACTCTGGCAGCCATTTCTATCCTTTTAATCTTTGTCTCAGGTTCACTGCTCAGCTGACAGCCTACACTTTGGCCTTTCCCATTAATTTCAGACGCATCATTCATCTTTCATTCCAGGTGCCATGAGTGTTACAGTCTCCCTGTGGAGGCCTTCAATATCAAAAGTGTAAAAAAATATGATGAACTTTTCTTCTTCTCTCTTTATTTTATTAGCTGTGGGCAGCAATGAACTTCACCTTTAAAGCTTACATTTTCCTTATTGTATTTGTGACTACAGTGCAGGTTTTTAAATTAACAGATTTCTTGGTTGCTTAGGGGCATATCAACACACAAAATCATCTAAATCCTCCATGATACACTGTCGAATTCAAACCCTATGTCTTTAGATTTTGGAGTCTCTGTAAGGAAGCACTTATTATTTTCATCCAGACACCTTTTCAGTTTTGCAGTCTGCACTCTTTAGATGTCTACTGTTGCAAAAAATAATGGCTAAGGTTTTACATTCTCATCATGTTCCAGCTGTGATGTGGTGAATCTAAGTCTGGGACTCCAAACCTTAAGGCAAAACCACATTTTCCTCATGCTTATCATATGTTCAACAATTCAGAAGCCCTGAGTCTTTGATGTTCCTTGCTCAGGGATCCAGCTTGGCCATTTCTACACAGAATAATATAGACATACAAGTTTATTTTTATGCCACTTGGATTTGAAGCCTATCAGACAGAGTTGACTAAGGATCCATGTCTGCCATGGATTGATATTATAACTCATGAAGCTGACAAATATTCAGTTTTTTTAAGGACTTTAAGATGTTCTCTGTAAAGCTGAGCCTCAAAGTTCATTCTTGACTTTTTAGAAACAGCGGATGAGAACCAGTTTCACCACAAAGTCAAGTTATCTGTTGCTGGAGCAATCAGAATGGTGATAGAGTTTAGTGAATTGAAATCGTAATTTGCTTGTTCAATTAATTGTTCCCTGATGAGTTTGTGAATTTTTGGGACAGGGGCTACAAAAGGCTGGAAAACTAAGTGGTGCTAAAATGAAACAGGTTTCTCAGAAGTAAAGATAGAATAGAATAATCTTTTAATTGTCCCACAAGGGGAAATTTGGTTGTAACAGCAGCCAAAAAGACACATATACAAACAAACAGTACACAGGACACAGAACAGAACCATACAAAATTTTTCTTACATATTTACATTAAGGACAATGGTTACTATAAATAGAGTACTGTACAGTTATTAAATGAAATAAAAATAACTACAGGTAAGAGGCAAACCAGGTTGTGGTACGAATTGGTTAATTAACTTATTGCAGTTACAGCATTGATGTAAACATCTATGTTTGTTGGGAGCAGTTCTGGTTGTACAGTCTGACAGCTGCAGGGAGGAAGGACCTGCGGAAACGCTCCTTCATGCATCTAGGATGCAGCAGTCTGTCACTGAAGGAGCTCTGCAGTTCAGCAACATTTACATGCATGGGGTGGGAGACTCTGTCCATCAGAGATGTTATTTTGGCCAGAGTCCTTCTATCTCCCACCGCCTGCACTGGGTGCAGGGTGCATCCCAGAACAGAGCTGGCCTTCCTGATGAGTTTATCCAACCTCTTCCTCTCAGCTGTCGATAAACTGCTGCTCCAACATACCACACTGTAAAAAAATGACAGATGCCACCACAGAGTCATAGAAGGTCTTTAAAAGCGCTCCCTGTACTCCAAATGACCTCAGCCGCCTCAGCAGGTAGAGTCTGCTCTGACCCTTCCTGTAAAGAGCATCAGTGTTGTGGCTCCAGTCCAGTTTATTATTCAGGTGAACACCCAGGTACCTATAAGAGTCCACTATCTCAATGTCCACTCCCTGGATGTTCACCGATGTCAGTGTGGTGGGTCTGCGTCTCCGGAAGTCCACCACCAACTCCTTGGTTTTCCCGGCGTTGATCAGCAGGTGGTTCTGCTGACACCAGTCAACAAAGTCCAGAGTCCACTGTCTGTACTCTGAGTCGTCCTCACCTGTGATGAGGCCGACTATGGCAGAGTCGTCAGAGAACTTCTGTAGGTGGCAGCGTGGGGAGTTGATGATCAGAGGAAGTTCAAGATGAACAGAGGTTCAGCAATCTGCAAAAAGAACAAAAACAACACACAAAAAACAACAATGAAAGTGTCTACAAATTGCGGAACTATTTCAGAATAATAAAAAAAAAAAATTGTGAAGACTTAAAATCTCTCGTTATCCACAGCACATAACATCTTTGAAAGATTCAGAAATCTGGAGAAATCTCTGTGCGCAAGGTTGAAAATAATATTGGAAGCCCATTATTATCAGGCCCTGAGATAGCACTGCAGGAGAACAATCTCCTTTTACAAACTAAAGAACTGCTCAAATAGATGAAGACCTGGTCAGCATGGTGATTGAGGACTCCCAGCCATTTAGCATTGTGGAGGACAAAGGATTCAAAAGATTTGTTAAATCATTAAATCCTAGCTATGTTCTCCCCACTAAAAAGGTCATAAAAGCAGTGAAAATTTAGTTTTTACAGAATAAAATGTGAACAGGCAGGACTGAGGCTCAAAGCCTCAGTGTGTAGCTGTCCATACCTCAACGTTACAAAAGCACAACTACTGTCCACACCCCAACCACACCTCACCTCACAGTAAATGATCATTTCCATTTCAAGCATTTCCAAATAATCATTTCCCATACTGCCACTATAAATATCCACAGTATACTGCCATCACTACAATATACATGTTTTACACACTCCTTTTGTTGTTGACATTTACAGGCTGTGTGCAAAATGCCACACTCTTCAAAT